TTTGGGTCGATTTTATGAGGAGCCGTGCCCTTGGAATAGGAACAGAAAATACAAAATCATTTAACTAGCTAACCTAAACATTGTTCATATGTCCAAATGCTATGGAGATAAATAAAAATATATCAACAATACATGTGTGAGACCTATTTTCACCCCCCACAATTCCTTTTGAATTCTGATTTGAGTAGCAAGTCACATTACAACCAATCTCCCTCGTAAAAATGGCCTACTCTTATTTTCAACTTAGAGCAAAAATGTGAGCCAACTTGCATACACAAGACCTACTTTTAGCATATGCTGAGTCTTACAATCAAAAACTCCGTATTGGGTTGGCCATAAATTTTTTGGGTGGCTTCTCAGCGGGCGTTGTTTCTTATGGTAAAGAGCCAACTTACATACACGAACGTGTGAGTTTCAGTGCAAATGGTACATGAATTCAGTTGTTTAAAGAATTGCAATACAAGCGTCATTTTGTTTTGGTTTGTATTTGACTTGACCATAGACGGTTAATTGTAAGTGTTTGCTGTCACAGTGATGTAAGGGCGACAAAAGGAGGGAGCTTATAAATGACTCGCACATTGAAAGATTTAGTTCAACAATTTCGCAAATGCTCTCAAATTAGAATATAGAGCGTTTTGACTAGAGTCATAATGTAAATGGATACATATTTGGCCATTTTCTAAGAAGATAGTTATGCGGATAGTTACAAATGCCAGAAAAGGATTACTTATTTGTTGCCAAAACAAAGCGGCGCGCCCGGGTGGGGGGCGGCTTTCAAATAAACTAGTTGAGGGGAAAAAAACAGATTAAAAAACAAATGAATACAAGGATTTGGGAATATGAAGTCAAACCCTCAGTTAGAAAACTCTTTCTTTTTCTCCTCTCCCGCTAACATATTAGTTCCTCTCCAGCGCCCATCTATTCAAATAAGTCAAGCCAATGTAAGGTTGATTAGTTGTTCAATGCATGACAGCAACTCCCTCCATCAATTTACAATTCTCCAATGATATAGCTCTTCAAGATGAGCATCACACCTTCCGTCACTGTTCACCGCTCTCAATCCTTTTAATCTATAAGCAATAAAATCTTAAGCTTTGGAATCCACCAGCTTTCTGAAACACTAATTCCTTCCCCTTCATATGCCTCAACAAGATCAGATAAACCAGATTGGCTAAACCTTGAAGATATTACAGTGGATCGGCATCTTTTACCTTGCTCCGCCGTAAACATACTGGCGTTCGTTTGGTTTGTATTTCTAGAAAAAAATTTTGCGGAAAATTTTCTCTACAAAATAAGAGTTTTTAAAAAATAATTTCAAACCAAACAAATTTTTTCAAAAAAAAAATTTTCAAAACTTTGTAAACCAAACAAAATTTTCCAAACAAATCTCTCTCTCACACACATCAAATCAATCACTTTTTCTAAAACCTCATCTCAAAATAATTTTCAAACATTCTTTTGAAAAAAACCAAACCAAACAACTTTTCGTACATTTTTATTCTCTAAAACACATCTCTCAAACACAACCAAAACATACCCACTGCGACTAGGCAATGCAGAGGAAGGTATCCAATGTGGTAACTTCTCTTAAAACGTTCCTTCAGGCAATTAGTGTTGGAGAGTCGAGAGGAGCGCGCAGATAGAAGATTCTAGCATCAATGATCTGTCTTCTTCTGTTGCAATAACATACAATGCATAAGGTTTGATTCAGACTTTCCTAAGAGGATGAGCATAGTGACTCATACCATCTTCACTGCTTACCTTATTATAATGCCTAATGACTTCAGTTAGGATATAGCTTCCCTATCTCTACTTGGTACAATGCTGCCATTGCCAATGCGTTTGCTTCAATTGAACCAAGTTTTCGCACAGGAGGTCAACTTATCCTATTTTAATTGGGATTTGAAACCCACCACTCATTATTAAAAGAATAATAAATTACGCTTTTTTCTTCATACCGAAACACCAAGAGATGGTGCATCTTTGGAGATTAGATCTCATTCAAGCAACTTAGTGACATAGGTGCTGTCTAAGGTCCAAGATTTCAAGTTCTGAGCCTTCCTATTAAACTTTGGAATTTTTTTTTACCTCGATTCCTTTAAACTTATATTACGTGAATGGTCCTAGTTTGACAACTTCAATTCAGGAAAATCTTTAATGAGCACACTCAGATCAACCACCTTTCAAAGCAGTCTTTGATGCAGAATATAAAGAAAGCTCAAAGAAGAGGTAAATTTAAAGAAGCGATTGAATATGGAAATTGGAGTCAATTTTCTTTTTGGAGGATATTTGGCGTTGGAAATTCTTCTTTTGCAGTGCATTTTCCCGGGTGTTCCTAAGGTTGCCAACTTCATGGTTCTCCATTACGTCAGTTTGGCATTGCTCTAGTTTGGCCCAATTGCATGGGAATTCTTAGCTTTGGATAGAAATCTTACTAATAAGAGAGGCTTAGTGATTAGGATCCGTGTTGTCTCGCATTGATCATTTGTTGTTTTAGATCTTCCTCGGGTGAAATAAATTGATTTGGCTCTTGCATACTTCTAGAGTATTTCTTTGTGCAAATCCTGCTTCAAAAAAATCATTGAAAAACCAAATATTTCTTTTTTTCCTCTCACAAAAGGAAATCTGGAAGTCTTTTGCACCTCTCGAAAGTTGAAATTTTTTTATTTGGTCTTTTGGTTCGATGGCAAGCATTTGTGACCATGAGTCCGTTCCAAAGAGTAGGCCTAATTGCTATACTTCTCCTCATTGCGTGCCATTATGCTGTAAGAGAGAGGCGGGAGAGTCGAATCATCTTTTTCTGCACTGCCAGTGGCAAGAAAGTTTGTGGTAGCCAATTTTTTGGACTTTGGGGTGGCTCCTGAATCATGTTAGTTCAATTGCTCTATTGATTTCGAGATTCATTTAGGTCTAAACAAAAAAATGCAAAGGTATTGGGGCTTTGTGCAAGGTTTTTGCTCTTTTATGTAGGGTCATTTGGATTACGAATAAAGGTCATGTGAGGGATCTTCGAGGAAAAAAGTGTACCTAGATAAAAACCATCTTTTTCGATGTTGGGGAAAAAAATTTAGGATTTCTTGCCATCTTTTTTGCCTTTCAGGATGCTCACCCCCGTTTAGGGGGGGAATTTCTTTAAACCTTTTTTTTTAAATCCTTCTTCCTTTTTTGACACGACAAGGAAATCAGAAGAGAATAAATAGAGAAGAGAGGAGAGAAGAAAGAGGAGATGAGTGAGTGACCTAGTATTTTCCCTAATCAAAAGAGATGACGAACTCAACGAGCAACAAGCGATGACCTTGATCTCCATTTCTCTCTCTCTCTCTCTCTCTCTCACCTTCGATCTCGAAGAACAATGACTACTTTCAAAGCTCCGACGACCTTAGATGAGAGATGTCTTCGCTCTCTCTCTCTCTCTCTCTCTCTCTCTCTCGCCTTCGTGAGCTCTATTCCTCTCTTCTCTCTCTCTTCAATGAAGCTTTGTGGCATATATATATATATATATATGTAACCTAGAATATTAGTATATTAGTATATAGAATATTAGTGTATGCCTGTACTTGAAGGTACGGTGTAAATAAAAATAAGTGAACAAAAAGGATAAAATAAAAATAAATAAATAAATAGGGGAGAAAAAAGAGAAAAGTACAAAAAAAAAAGAAAAGACAGAAGAAGGTGGGATCATGGGAGGATGGATGTAAAAAGGAAAAAGTAAGAGAGTGAAGAGGGAAAATAGAAAATGTACGCATAAGATATTTTTTAAAAATATATCTCAGCTATTATTTTATAATTTGAATAGATCTGAGCCATCTAAACGTTCTAGTAGGACAAATATGTGTAGGACAAATTCAAAAACCATCCTACTTTGTTATATAGACGTTGAAGATTCATATGAGGTCTAAAATTTACGAAAACTATCAGGTATTTAATATATTTTAAAATAATAATTAATTGTTCAAATTCATTTAATTTGTGAACTAAAAAAATTATTAATATAATCTCCACTACACACAGTAAAATCTGACTCCTAATTATGAGATCGCAGTTTTTTCCATATAATATGAATAAAAATAAATGAACAAAAAGGAGAGAAAAAAATAAACAAATAGAGAGAAAAATAAAAATTGGAGAATTTTTTTTTTTTTTTAAAAAAAGAGAGAGAGCTGAGAGAAAAAAAAAAGGTGGGATCATGGGATCATAGAAGGATGGGCGAGAAAAGAAAAAAGTAAGATAGAGAAGCGGAAAAATAGAAAATGTATATGTAGGATATTTTTTGAAAAATATATCTCATTTGTTGCTTTATAATTTGAATAGATCTGAGCCATCCAAATGTCCTAGTAGGACAAATTCAAAAACCATCCTGCTTTATTATATAAATGTTGAAGATTCATATGAGATCTAAATTTATAAAGTCTATCAGGTATTCAATATATTTAAAAATAATAATTAATTGTTCAAATTCATTTAATTTGTGAACTATAAAATTCATTAATATAACCTCCACTACACATAGTAAAATCTAACTTCTAATTTTGAGATCGCAAACTTTTTCATATAATATGAATAAAAATAAGTGAATAAAAAAGAGAAAAAAAAAAAAAAACAAATACAGTGAAAAATAAAATTGGGAGAAAATAAAAAAAAATAAAAAGAAAAGAGAGAGGAAGGTGAGATCATGGGATCATGAAAGGATAGGTGAAAAAATGAAATAGTAAGAGAGGAGCGGGAAAATAGAAAATGTACATATAGAATATTTTTTGAAAAATATATCTCAACTAGGGGTGGTCAACGGATGCACCGGCCCGTCTGAAACGTCCGACCCGACCTGACACCATATGGATGGATGCGTGACACGTGGCAGGCGGGCGCGGGTGCATTATTTGGTTTTCGCGGGTTTGGGTCGGGTTGCGGTTGACCCACCTCTTTACCCAATATACCCGACCCGCCCGCTTTTGTTATTATTTTTATTTTTATTTTATTATTTTCCCCCATTTTTTGATCTTATCTCACCACACTTATATTTCAGTCCTCTTCTTCGATACACTATCTCTCTCTCTCTCTCTCTCCCCCAGAACCCTACCCTACCCATATTACCGACGGCGACGACGATCGAGAGACGATCTACACTGAAATAGCCATCGGCGATCGACGATCGTGGTGTGGTGGTAGTGAGATATTGTCTTCTCTCCTTCTCTTATTCTCCTCTCTAATCTGTTCGTTCTGTAATTTTTTTTTCCGACTTCGACTTCCTCTAAAGTTCTTATTTTCTGCAATCTATTTGTAAATCTGTTCGTTCAATATTTTTTTTTTTGTTCTGTAAATCTGTTCGTTCTTTTTTTCCTTTTTTTTTTTTTTTGGTTCCAGTTTGTTATAGTTCTAAAGTGAAACCAAACCAGTGGAAGAGAGGTTACAGTGTGAAGAAGGTTACAAAGAGGAAAAAAAAATGTAAGTTTCCTATTTTCTTTTCCTCTCTATATTATGCATTGAATCTGTTTACAATGTTAAAAAGCTCACAGATCAGAGACGGAAAAATGATGTAGCTCCTGAAGGCTGAATCTGTTATTTGACATTTTTTTTTTACAATTGAATGTGATCCGAATGAAAAATGGAAAATTACTTACTTAGAGGTTCATTACTTAGAAAATGACAAATCTATTTTTACATAATAGTGCAGCAAATTCAATATCCAAATTTGTGAATGAAAAATGGAATGAAAAATTTGTGAATGAAATTTTTTTCTGTATTTACTTAGAAAATGGCAAATTTGTGAATGAAAAATGGAAAATGACAAATCTGTTTTTATTTATGGTTTTAATTATAATTATAGTTTTTGCTTAGCTTGATATTCATTACTTAGAGGTTCTAAACAGTGTGAAGAAGCTCATAATTAAGTGGTGTTGAGATTGATTAGCTTGATAAGCATTGTTGAATTTGTTTTTTAACACTAAAATTCTTTAGAGAATTGGTCAGTGGAGAATGAATGAATCTGAAGTCTAAATGAATCTGAAGCCTATGAAGATATACATATGTGTAAGATAGTCTTAAGTAACAAATTAAGTGACCAGTAATATTTTTGGATGATTGTATAACTATTAAGACATTTTAAATTTTTTCGATGATTGTAATATTTTATTTTGGATGATTTTTAATACTTTATTTTGGATGATTGTATGTTAAAAATTTGTGTTGCGTTGTTGCGTCCACTGTCCAAGTTGTTTGTCTAAATTTGAGTAGGTTGTTTTTGTATATGAGCAGGTTGTTCCATGTTCCATGACTCTTGAGGTTAGAGCCTGCCACACACTGTTTGTTCCATGACTCTTGGACTTAGGCTCTTAAGTACAAAAACATCCTTTTAAAGGCTTGCCACACATTATTTGTTTGTGTTTATTTAGGACACACACTGAGCAGGTTGTGCCCACCTATGTGCAATGCACACACTATTTGTTTGTCTTTAGCAAATTAGCACACACAGCACACACTAGCAGATTGATCAACCATAGTGTTTGTTTGTTTTTGTTAAAGAGACAGCCACCAAGAAGATGAAAACACAGCCAAACAGGACCCTCAACAGCCTCCTTGTCACCAATTAGAGGGCTGTTTGCTTTGAATGGCAAACTAGTTTGTGTTCATATGCATATAGATTTGTTGTGTATATACTGAACAGAGATTTATTTTTGTTTTTTGTTCAAAGCCCTATGATTGGTTTGGTAGTCTATAAGTAAGTATTAGTTTGTTCACCTGAAAGGGTTCTTGCTTCTTGTAGCTGAATGGTAGTATTTATTTATTTATTATTTTGGAAAGGCCATTCATGATGAAAAATCTCCTTCAGTTATTGAATGCAGTGTTATAACTTGATTTGTGAAATTAGCCTTTGTGTGGGGGCCCAAGAATTGAATTTTTTTTAAACTTTTTGGGTCCTTCTTCCATGCATTTTACTGAAGCTTTCCTGTAATTTATAGCTATATCTTGGCAGCCATTACTTATCTCCAGTGACCACACCACCGCCCACTGCCTTCAATTAGCATCCCTCTGCTCTGCTATCACCTCTAGCCTTTTTGTGATTACCCTTACCTTTCCTCCACCACAAAAGCTGGTGGTGATCACAGAGTCAGTAAATAAACAGAGGTAAATTGTGAACGCGTCCAATTTCATATTTCTGATAATGTGGTAACCATAGTTGCTTTTAACTTTTGATGGGGAAATATTAGATTCTTTGTTTACTATTCTGTTTGGAAGACTTAGATCAAATGATGATGATGATGGTTCTTAGTCTAGCGAAAAATTTTAAACCGCCAAACCGATTCGCATCTATCCGCCAATCCACTCAATCCGCATCCGCCGGATCGGCGGACGGATGCGGATGGATTTTCTCAAATCCGCCAATCCGGCTGACGGATGGCGGATTAGAGGTTCCGTGGCCGCACCCGACCCGTGACCATCCCTAATCTCAATTGTTGTTTTATAATTTGAATAGATCTGAGTCGTCCAAATGTCCTAGTAGGACAAATGTGTGTAGGACAAATTCAAAAATCGTCCTGCTTTATTATATAGATATACTAAAAGAAAAATCAATATTTTATTAAAATAATAATATTTACTATCATTATTATATAAATGTATTATTTATAGTTAACTATTATTTATATTTATATTTTTAAAATATATAAATAACATTTATTTTATTTTTTATGCATATTTTTACATTATTTAATTTATAAATAATAAATGTTAAGCGAGCCAGCTAACTAGCCAGCAGAGCTTTAGAATGTTTGGGTTTGTTTATTAAAAATTTATCGAACTCGAGCTCGAACACCAAACAAATTTAATCAATCGAGTTTGAACGAGGTCTTACCAAGTCAAGCTCGAGCTTGTTCATTATGTTCATTTACAGCCCTATTGAGAATTGATTTTTTTAATAATTTTTAAATTTTTTATGAAAAAATGTATAAAAAAATAGAAAGAATAATTTGATAATTTATAGGGTTGATTTGGAAATTTAGCTATTTTAGCCCAACTAAAAACATTCAGTGTGTTTGGTTTGAGTTTTCGGGATTAAGTTTTTTGAAAACTGATTTTTTTGATTTTCGTGTTTTTTTGTTTTTAGTAAGTATTTTTTAAATTTTAAACATTTTTTTTACTTTTTTAAATGCACCTTACTTAGATGTATTTAAAAAGTAAAAAATTTGTGAAAAAATATTTTAAAAAATTAATAAATACA